TTTTGAAGATTTTATTTATTTATTTGACAGAGAGCACAAGCAGGGGGGAGTGGCAGGCAGAGGGAGAAGCAGACTCCCCACTGAGCAGGGAGTCCGATGAGGGACTTGATCCCAGGACCCTGAGATCATGACCTGAGCCGAAGGCAGATGCTTAACCCACTAAGCCACCCTGGCGCCCCAAAGGCTACACATTTTTATCACTGCTAAGTTCATGGTTTTCTTGGCCTATCACTGATTTGCTATAATGCCATCCTGAGTCTATTCCTTAGGTTTCCCTTTTAACAGGACTTCTAGATAAAAGGGTTTTCTAAGTATTTTCAGTTTTCTTGGATGCCTAACTTGTATCTGACTAAAATTCTGCTTTCTATTGGATGCTGTCTATTGCATTTCCAGGGTAGTAGTTGGGGGTCAGGTGGAGGGTGTTTATTTTTTAATTGGGGGGTTTGTTGGTTGGTTAGTTTTATAATGCTGTAAAAAAAAATTAGCTGTTTGGTAGTTCATCTCATGGTGGTACAGAAATAGATGACATAAAAGACTGTTTCTGGATGAGACTGTGGCCAGCTCTTTGACGGCCGGTATAATGAGCAGGAGTATTTGCAGCACCGATCTGGTTCTCTAATAACCTGACTGCTTACCTAGTGCTTGTAAAAATAATGTATTGCTGCATTTTTAATATACGACACACTGTTTCGTAAAGAAAATGACCAGGTTTGCATTTGTATGATTCAGAAGTAACGTACCTAGGAGTTTATTGTAGAAGAGTAGAAACTCAACAGAACTTTTAAAAGTATCTCATGTACCTTCTAGTCATATTGCATTAACTCGGCTTTGTTACGCCAGTCAGAATATTCCTGGAAATAAGCAAGTCTTTGAACATGCTCTTTAGAAATACTTAAAACTCACACAGTCGTGTTTGTTTCTTTCCTCTTTCTTTCTGTTCTTCAAGAGAAGCTGTAGTTTTAGGGAGCACGGACTTCCTGGAGGATGACATCGAGAAGATCGTGGAGGAGCTGGGGAAGGAGTACAAGGGCAACGCCTACCACCTGATGCATAAGAACTGCAATCACTTCTCCTCAGCCCTGTCGGAGGTGAGTCCATTTTCTCCTCAACCCTTCAGGCGGAGAACCCCCAGAGCGTCCTCGCTGGCCGCTGTTGTCAGCCGCTTTCCCACCCCTCGAGTTGGGGAGCGTGCGATGCTCTGTGTCCGGTATGAATGAGCGTGGGCTCCGACCGTGACCCCAATCACCACGTGGTCGCGGGTGGAGTGCGCACAGATAATCATCTCTTCCGGTTCCGATTCGTTTTATTACAGCCTGGAACTTGCTGCCTCTTAGCCGCCAGATTCTTCTTTCTCTCTTTTAGTTGCCGGTGTGAATTTTTTTCCTGGCTCTTAAAATTATTAATAAATCGTTCATTTTGCCGCTCTGGAAATTTCTTTCTGCCAACTCACAGGCACTTACTTGCCTTCCCCGTTCTTGACTCCCAAGCAGGAGACCAGGGCTAGATCAGAATCGGAAGGCCTGAACACAGAAAATGGAGGGAAGAAATCACAAGATTAGGAAATGAGGTTGAGAGAATTAACTAGCACTCGGTGGCTGGAGACAGGGGCGGTGTCCGGCCCACAGGACCTGGACGGCGGGCAGGACAGATGGAGCCGCCGCCTCAGTGGCCTCTCCGCCTCGGTGGCCTGTGCACGGGTGCCTGGCTCGCTGGCCCTCTCCCCTGCCCTCGTGGCTTCCACAGCATGACTCTCAGACGGGCCCGCGGTGGGGGCGCCACGTTTTTCGGACGTGGCCTGCACCCGCAGCATGGAGGACTCACGATTCACATCGTCTGCGCCCCACCGCGGCGCCCAGAGTCAGCATCTTGATGTTCATGTGAGCCCTGACGATTCGTCCGGCCGTAACTCCGGTCCTGTAGATGCGCTGATACCGTAGAGCTGACCTGCTTGCCTCTCAGGAACGAGAGAAGGTGGTTCAGGTCCTTCTTGACCGCACATGTAGGCAATGCATCCAGGGATCCATAGAATGTTAAAATTGGCAGAGATAGTAGCTAGCACCGAGTCCAGTCGCCTCGTTTGACAGATGAGGTTGGCTGTCGCCCATCCAGAGTATGTAGGGGCAGCCGGGCCACCATCCCTTGTGACAGGGGAAGCTATGTATGCAGTTAGGAGTGGTCGATCCAGCCCCGAAGACCCGGCGCACTGGATCCCCTGGCTGTTTCAGCCGGGCTGCAGGCGTGAGGGGGACGAAGTGTAGCCCAGGTGATACCCGAGGTCTGTCCTCTCCTCCCAGCAGGAAGAGAAAAGAAAAGCCCCCCAAGTTCCCAAAGTTGAGTTTTGGGGCAGCCAAAATGCTAAATCTTTGCTCTCTCCTCCAAGTGGGAGGGAACATGATTAAAAAGTTTCCAGGCCTGAGCCAAGTAAGAACGGGAACGGGGGGGCTACCACACTAATCCTTGAGCTGCTGCTGAGGCATCCCTGCCCAATCCCAGCTGGGATCTCCCCGGACGGCTGTAACCTCTGTCATGGCTAAGTTTACTGCTGGGACAGTGTGAGTAACTTTGCAATGAGGAAAGAATTGTATTTTGTTATTATTGCATCTATAGATATAGAATAGGAATTGGTATAAAACGTTCTGTGTGTGTAATTTTTTAGAGGATACAGGGACTGTCTTACTCGGGGAATGCTACAAAGCGAAAGGGTTAGTGGGACACAACTTCCTTGCGTTTTGCAGCCATAGAGTGGATGGAGTTTAAGTCTTTTGATAATGAAAAGAAAATGTGTCTCCACAGCCGAGAATTTTACTATGACTTTTGCATATTACGGCCTCTGGGAAAAGGGAGACAACATACAAAGAGAGACCATTTCCAGGTGGACTTCAGAGTGTTAAAAAGCAGTTTTTAGATACTAATGAGCTCTTGTAAAATCAGATGTCTGACCCGTCAAGGCTGCTGATTTTCCAGCCCGATGTGCATATTTTGTATTGGGTTTTAAAAAAGGGCTTAGGGAAACCTTGCATGTTGCTTGAACTTGGAAGCATGGCTCCCTGGCCGTGCAGCATCTCAGCTTTACTCCTGCCGAAGAAAAGCCCTGGCCTTTTTTTGAAATCCTGAATTCACAATCCTAATTGCTGTGGCTTGACTCATAGGCTGAAAGCCGGTGCTGTCTACTACCCTCCCTGCAGACTGAAAGGTAGAGGCTCAGGGAACAGGGCTTCTCCTCGGGGACCATTGCAGGTCAGGACACCGTCTGCGGAGCCCTATACTATGAAAGCCTTGCGGACATTGGACCGACCGGTCTGGCTTACTTGCAGGTGCCCGCCAGAAAGGGCTTTTTCCCGCCGGGACCGGCTGTGTTGAGCTGCTCATTGGCTCGGCATTTCCAATACGGGGACTGATTGAATCCCTAACCAGTGATTCTTGCTAAAACTGCAAGTGGGGAGAAAGCACATCACCAGGACTGTGAGCCCCCGCCCGCTTCCAATGCATCTCCCACCGAGGCTCCGGGGGATGACAGCCAGGCACCCTCCTCCCACTTCCCGCTGCGCACTCCTTAGCAGGGCCGCACGGTTACCAAATGCAGTTGTCCGCAGACACGGGCGGCCTCTCTAGGCCGCTCACTGTGTAAGTGGTCAGGGTAGAGGGAGGGAGTCGCTGTATAAACCCATTTTGAAGTTTTCTGAAAACTCCGGATTTTATCCTGACAAATCCCTAACACGATGTGCCTGTCCAGTTCAGTTACATAAAAATATTTCCAGCAAGAACTCTGTCCCTCTTGTGTACATCCTTTCCAGACCAAAAAAGGGCTGGGTGAGAGCAGGGGATAATTTTTAAAGTATAAAGTTAGGATTGCTAAACGGCACACGCTGATTTTGTAATGACAACAAACAGAAACCCCAAATCCTGGCAGCTAGGGAGGAGAGAGGAACGGGGAAGCCTTGATAACCTTTGTTTTTCAACACTGCGCCTCCCTTGTCCCAAAGAAAAACGTTGCATTCTGCCTTTCTGAACTGCTGCAAGCACTTGGAATTCAGCCAGTCTGTTGCCCTGTTCCTACACTTACCACACATGACACCACACGTCTTCCACGCTCGTGAGGCCGGTGACGTGGCGTCGCGGACAAACAACTGTTTGGATCTGACCGTCTCTAGGCAGACCCCCTGAAACCAAGATTCAGCCAGTTTTTCAAGCTAGATTGGAAACCCTCAGGCAGAAGCCCTGTCTTCTCATCCATTTGGGCAGCTCAAACACAAGAGCACAGGCCGGGGGGCTTCTCAGCAACAGACCTTTATTTCTCACCGTTCTGGAGGCTGGGAAGTCCAAGATCAAGGTGAGGTCGACTGGTGAGGTCTGCTTCCTGGGTCACAGGCTGCTGCTTGCCTTGGCCTTGGGTGGCAGGAGGGGTGAGGGGGCGCTCAGATCCCTGGTTAGCGCACTAATCCGGTTCGTGAGGGCTCGGCCCTCATGACCTGACCGTCTCCCAGAGGCCCCCCTTCCACAGACCATCATGTTACAGGTTAAGATTGCTGCATACCAACTTTGACGGGACAAAAATCTTCGGTCTAGAGCAAACCCCACTTCCAGAGAGAAAGTGCATTGGGTGGGGGCCTTTTAACCTGGACTGCCTGACCCGGGTACCCTGCTTGGGCTGCCCTAACATTGTAAACTCACTTTCTAGGGGTACCTGTGTGCCCTCTGGGGTTTTACTTCATGTGTGTGTACCCTGACTGTCAAGACATTGCCTCAGCCCTAAAAACCTGTCAGGCCGACTCAGGGTACTGGCCAGAGTTTCGCTGATCCTGAATGATGCGTCAGGCCAGGTAAAGAAGGTTCCTACCAAAACTGAAGGTGGACGCCACCCAGCTTTCTAAAATAAACCTTGATGGTTAGTGAGATTTGTTTTAACTGGCTAAGGCCAGTTATACCCTTTAGGTATAACCGAAATCAATACTTGAGGTTGGTCTCACCCTCCTGCATGGGGCCCTTTGATAATATTTGCTGTAACAACAGCTTGGCCAAGTTTGGGAGCTGGGGGGTGCTGTGTAAAAAAAAAAAGTTAAAACAGGCCAGAGCCTGCTGTCCTTATAAAGCCCTGCTTATCCGAAGCGGGGTTGGGGCTTTGGATGGCATCTGAGAACTTGATTTTCAGAAGGGCTCCCAACATTTTCAGGATAGAGGAGTGGCTCGCTGTGCCTGACTCATTTGTACAAACAGTGTGATTTCTGTGAAACACCTGCTTAGAGTCTGGGGAATCTTAACAGCTTGGTACCTGCTAAGGAGGGGGTGCCTGCCTGCACAACCAGACCCCAGTAAAACTTCAGATGCTGGGTGTCTAGTGAACATCCCTAGTGGACATTTCACATGTGTTGTCCCCACTCCTTCATGGGGTCATTAAGTGTATCCTGTGTGATTCCACTGGGAGAGGCACTTTGAAAGCTTGTGCTTGGTTTCCTCTGGACTTTGCATTCTGTGCCTGTCGTGGATCATGGCTGTGAATGCAGCTGTGTACCCAGTCCCGTGGCCCTCTCGGCAAGTCATCATCTAACTGGAGGTGGTCTTGGGGACCGCTCACACAGCTCAATAGCATTCTCCAAAGGTGATAAAGAGTTGTTGTATTTTTTTTTCTTTTAATATCATGAATTTCCCCTCCTCTCCAGATTTAAAAAATATTCCATATACTTCACAGGAAAAATCAATCTAACTTACATCTTAAAGGAACTAGAAAAGAAAAAAACAAAGCCCAAGGTTAGTAGAAGGAAGGCAGTAATAAAGATCAGAGTAGAAATAAATGAAATACAGACTAAAAATACAGCGAAAAGATCAATGAAACTAAGGGCTGGTTCTTTGAAAAGATAAGCAAAATTGACAAACCTTTAGCTTGACTCACCAAGAAAGAAAGAGACAGGGCTCAAATAAATCAAAAATGAAAGAAGTTAAAATGGACATGACAGAAGTAGGAAGGATCGTAAGAGAGACACTGTGAGCGGATTGGACAACCAAGAAGAGATGGACAAATTCCTAGAAACAGTCTTCTGAGGCTGAATTATAAGGAAATAGAAAATCTGACTAGACTGGTTATTTTACTAAGGAGATTGAATCAAAAACCTCCCAGCAAACAAAAGTCCAAGACCAGACAGTTTGGTGAATTCTACCAAACATTCAAGGATTCAATACCTAATCTCAAACTTTTCCCAAAAAAGAAAGAGAACACTTTGAAACTCATTATATGAGGCCAGCATCACCCCGATACCAAAACCAGACAAGGACACCACAAAAAAGGAAAATCACAGGCCAACATCCCTGATGAACAGAGTTGCAGAAATCCTCAACAAAACATTAGCAAACCAAATTCAACACCACATTAAGGGGATTCTACACTGGGATCAAGTGGGACTTTACCCGGTGACGCAGCGGTGGTTCTACATGTGCAGATCAGGCAGTGCGATACGTCACATTAACAAAATGAAAAGTAAAACTCGTATGATTATTGCATTAGTTGCAGAAAAGCATTTGACAAAATTCAGCATTCACTTATGATAAAACTCTCAGTGAAGTGGGTAGAGAGGGAACATACCTCACTGTAATAAAGGCCGAAGGTGACAGGCCCACAGCTCATGTCATACTCGGTGCAGAAGGATCAGGAGCAAGAGCCCACCCAGCCGCTGCACACAGCGTTGTGACCAGTCACCCCGTGCATGCGTCTCTTCGTACCCAGCCAGTGTGTGTTGGAGGTGGATTTCTACAAGGGGGATTACTGGTTGAAGCCTAAATGCAAAAGTAATTTTGCTATATAGACTGCTACCCGCCATAAGAAATATGTTTTCCATCATAACACAGTATATACACACATGTATGTGTCATGCGTTAAAACAAGTGTCACAGCTAGCCCTCCCATCTATAATCTAGATCATTTCGAAAATCTGGGTCACGATCTGAATGACTCACGAATGGGTCTGGACTCGAAGTTTCGAGATGTTGGCTTGGTGGAGGACCAGCACGCTTCTGACAAGTCCGGGCTGGGGGGGGGGGGGTTGTTTATAAGCTGGGGGACTGGTCACAGACTGGACTCTGCCACTGAGAACTCAGCCCACCGGGGTGGCCGTGTCCCAGTGCAAGTCCCTCTGCCAAAACAGGAGGCCGCCGTGGACAGTACTGTGTTTTCAGCTGATCAGGCCACACCACCGGGGGTTGGGAGGAAGGTAGCTTATTGAGTACAACCAGGACTTGGGCAGTAGGTTGAAGGAAGTAAGTAGTCAGCAGTGGCCATACACTGACCTATGTATTCCTCGCCAGCACCTCTGCGCTTAACCTGCAAATACGTAGATGCCACCCCACGTGTCAGGTGTAAAACACAACATAATACTTGCTGGCCTGGGTTTCTTTGGGGAGAGAGATGGGAGTGGTATCATGTGAGGTCATGGCTCGGCTTTCCCCCAGATCAAGTTCATGGACACATTTCTGAAATATTTTTTTTTTTTTTTTAAGATTTTATTTGAGAGAGCAACACAAGTGGAGGGGCAGAGGGAGAGGGAGAAGCAGGCTTACTTCCCACTAAGCAGGGAGCCTGATACGGGGCTCGATCCCAGGACCCCGAGATCATGACCTGAGCTGAAGGCAGACGCTTCACCGACTGAGCCACCCAGGCGCCCTCAATATTTTTAAGTACTCTCTACCTCTAGTGCTGCCCGGCCAGGTGATCGTTTGGTCAGAACATGCCGTCTCCCCTCGAGTGAGACCACTTGCCCTGTGGTTAAGACAGAGATGTCATATTTAAAGCAAATGTAACCTTTGTCAGGTAAGGCTAACCCTTTAGAGAGAAAACTTTCCTTGCTTTATTACAGGTACCAGTTTATTTACATTTTCACTAATTTGGGGGCATAAGATACTTTGACACCTTTTTCCCAAGTCATCAACTAAGATAAGATGGCCTGATCCTAATCTGTGACATGACTGGAGGCAAAACTGCCAAGGTGACAGGGGAGCATGGGCCCAGGAAGGCCAGTATTGTCTACAGACAGGCAAGAGGGTTAAGAAAGAGTAAAGTTCGTTGTGGAAGGCCTGATTCTTACTATCGGAGATAGGCGGGGCGGTGGCTTGTGGCTCCGGAGTCCTAAGGACAGGGTCAGGGCGGGAAGTGGGCAGAGAGCCACACATCGTCAGCTGGAAAGACCCCTCCTGGCCCCACATCCGCCCCCGCCATCCCCAGCAGAGTCTGCAGACGAAAGCCAGCCGGTTGTTCCGGCCCCACTCCTGCCGCGGACTCCCAAAGCCAGGTCTGCATCTGGGGAGCTGTTTCTCTCTCTGCTGATACGAGCCCCTGGGGAGAAGTGGGTTGGCGACAGAAGTCACGGGGTAGATAGGGATGCGGAAAGTGAGCCATTTGCAAGAGGCTCCAGAGAAAGGGAGGGATGGGGCTGCCGGAAGGGCCCAGACTCCGCGGGTAGGTGCCGCCTGTTCCCAGAGGCCCAGGTGCAATGTTTCCGGCACCGCCCTGCCTCCGCCCCACCCCCACACCCTGGCACCGGACCAGGCCCACCTTACTCATCTTACCTAACGCCACACCCTTTGTCGCCCATAGATTCTCTGCGGGAAAGAGATTCCTCGCTGGATCAATCGACTTGCCTACTTCAGCTCCTGTATACCCTTCCTACAGAGCTGCCTCCCCAAGGAGTGGCTCACCCCCGCGGCCCTGCAGTCCAGCGTCAGCCAGGAGCTGCAGGACGAACTAGAGGAGGCCGAGGACGCTGCCGCGTCCGCCTCCATGGCCAGCGCCGCAGCGGGCTCCAGACCCGGGCGCCACACTAAACTATAAACGTCTCCAAAGTCACACCTTCAGAGCTGTCTCTGACAGTTGACTATCAACTAGAGAAAAGTAAAAGAGTAAGCGTCCTCTGGATATTTTGTATGCAAAGATGGCTCTCCCCCCAATCCCAGTTTTTCAGCTCAGGATTATATTTGTAATCAAAAGAATCACTTGGCGCAGGAGGGAGAACTTTCTATGAAGCTTCCCTCTGGTTTTTTTTACCCACTTGTAAATTTGGATTTACTTCTGTTTTATACGAGCTCTGTTAAGTTATGTTTACAGTATTTTGTATCGCTGTTTACAAATCTTGCATGGACTCCTGCCACCGTGAAAGAAGAGAATCTTCATGGCTTCAAAAACGAGGCAGGTCATCTTTGTACACCTCCGACAGTTGCCGGAGCTATGGTGTTAACACTAGGCACACGAGAGGTACTTGGGCGGTGAGAGTCGCCATCATCCGCTTGAGAATGGTCTTTTAGGTCTGTGTTTGGTTTTGTTCACGTTCAGGACGCCGAGGGGAAGGAGCACCCACGGCCGAGGGCAGCAGCTCCTGCCTTGCGGAGGAGCGCGCTGCCCAGGCTCCCCCCAAATGCAGGGGGGGAGGTGCTTGCATCCCAAATACCAGTCCACCTCAGCAGCCTGGTCCCTTCCTGCGTCCGTCTGGCTTGGACCCCTCTGATTCTATAGTTAAGATGGTTTTCGTTAAAGATATTCTTGCTAGTCACTAAGGAGTATTTTTGCACACGTGTTGGGGGCTTCACCTTTATTTTAATACCTCCCACTACCCTCCTCCCTGCACCGGGCTGTGACAACGGGGTAGGAAGATCCTAAGCGGGCAGCCTTCTGAGTAGCGGTGTGAGTTGACATTCAGCTGCTTTCTAACTGTTCGGGCTGCCTTTTATACGAGACCTTGAAAACTGGAGTCTGAAGTAACACTGTCCACAGAGTGAATCATTTGATATTCCACCATTTTATGTACCATTTCAGACAGAGTGTGTTGGAGTCCGTTGGCTTGTGATGGGAGTAGCGTCACCTCATCTTAGAAAACCGAGTCTCGTTGACTTTTTGTTGAAAGATATTTGTGTGTCATAAAATTCATCTTTTTCTGTTCTCTCAAATGTGTCTCTTACAGAAACTACTCTGAGAAAAGAAATTGTCAACTGCAGATAAGTCCTCATTAGCAGGGACTCCGTCTGCTCAAATCTACTCCCAGTTTGACCCTTGGATGTAAGAGCCGAGTCATTACATGTCAGATTCAATTTTTCTGCCTTAAGAATGAATGTCCTACATAGAATATTGGATGCAGCGTATAAATTATCCAAGGCAGTGACTTCAGCTTTATAGAGATTGTTAGTTTTAAAGGCACCTACTTTTATTTAAACTTCTAGATTGGATTGTTTGCTATTGTTCTTTGTAAAGATACATATCTTTCAGTAAAGGACATTTTTAACTTTTCCATCAGCTGATTTTGATTCATTTTATCAACTGAAGCACACACTATTCCTAGGGAAACCAAACCTTGGGTTAGAAGCTTTGACCTGAGGAAAATGAAGCCACTTAACCTAATTTACGCTTTTGTTCTGTTTCTGGAGAAGAAAGCCTTGACCATTCTCCCCTCAGTTCTTTAGAGGGTGCAGAGCCCTCGCTTAAGAGATGTGACAGAAGGAAAAAAGGAGTATATGATCTTTGTGAGAAGTTGACTTGGTTCAGGCCTAAAAAAGAGATTTAGAATAAAACACTGACTCTGGCCATGTATCTGTTCCCTCAGAGGAGAGTCCTAGCACCAAAACCCAGGTTAGTGGAAAGTGTCTGAGGCAGTTTGCTTGGGATTTTTTTAAATAACGTGGTGGATGACAGTTGTTTCTCATCCATTCAGATATACATGATTTTAGTCTGTGCTGCTGACCCACATAAAGGAGTGGCCATCCGTTAGACCCATCTTGGTGAATAGCCAGGAACACCCCATTTGTGCTTATCTGGAATCCAGCACCTCGGCACACAAATGATTTCACCACTGTTCTGTTGTATTTACTTTCATCTGCAGCATTTGGAGTGAAAAATAGCGTGAAGGGGCCTGGTAGAAATAACAAATGGCCTGAGGCCATTTATCATACTAGCAATCAGCATATAAAATTCTGGGTGTGAGATTGCTTGCAATCCAGTTGTACTTGAGGTTGTCTTTACTTTAGAAAATCTCATTTAAACCAGTTCCCCTCTATAGTTCAAAGTTGAGGTTGGACTTAATGGACTAGCATTTAACCAGCTTTTTCTTGCCCTTGCCGGGAAAGAATTGTGTTCTCAGCCTGATCTCTGTTCAGAAAAATCCAGTCATTTAGATACATGTGGCGTGACAGAGTCAGAGATTCTCTTTGTAGTGGGAACCAAGCAAAACACATTTCTCATGGTGGGTTGGACAGCGACAATGTGGGAGGGCCAGAAGCTTCTGGTTTCTGTTTGTTTTCAGTGCCCTAGGGTTGGTTGGTTGGGGTTTTGTCAACCCTAAGAAAAGGGCATCGGCTTTGGAAAGTGGCCTCTGGAATTGTAGGAGGTGGCATGGAGAGAGCCCCCGCTGGAGGCCTGGACCCCAGCTAAATGTTCCTCTGACCCACAGCAATAGCACACAGCTCCCTTCACCAGCATCCGCACAGAGCAGGGAAGTCCGGTGTTCGCCGATGGGTGCCGCTGCGCGCACAAGGAGAGTCCACGCTACACTCAGCTGCGGGACTCCGTATCCATGGCTTCTCTCCATCACAAAACGGGTAGAAACACATTCACTGCTTCAGGGCTCGAATCTGTGTGTCTTCTTACGGCTCCATTTCTGCAAGATACTCGGTCATTTCGATGGCGTGCGTGCTGTGTTTCTTCTGCCATCACACGTTCTTCCCTTCCGTAGGGTCGTAGGGTGCGGCTCAGTGATTAGACTCGCCTTGTCAATACACATCTTCACTGTTCAAGAGGTGTTAACAACTGTTAAAGAGTCTTCATGAACCTGAAGATAATTTCTTGTGAAGTTGAATGCAAATGTACTGTCATTCATAGTGTTTATATGAAAAAAAAAATACCAGGAATTTCACTTTTGCTACCTTGATATAGCATTGGGCTATCATGTTAACAACATTGAAATACATCGATTTATTAAAAAAAATACTTTTATAAGAAATGTTTTCTAGTGCTTTCTGACTACAACTGTGACGTACTTGTGTTGGAGGGTGGGCGGTGACCCTTAAAACCCAAGGCTCCCATCTGCTCTGTGGATGCGATCAGACCCTCTTGTATGACTCACATGCTTGCTCTTGAGCCCAAAGTCCATGGGCCAAGTCCATAGCTGCCAAAGAGCATAACCCCACTCCTCACTGCGGCAGTGGGTGTCAGCCCTGGCTCCCGGGCCGTGAAACAGGCTGGGAGGGGAGACACGTCCTCCGCGGTCCACCCAGAGTGCAGGGGAGGGGCCCACAGAGGGAGAGCCCCTGCTGCGCTTGCTCACACATGCACCCCCCCATCTTGGAGCATCGAGCATGCAGGAGCCTGTTTCCTATAAACCTGTTCGCTTCTGTTTAGCACCTCCAACCTGACCCTTCTCTGCTGGCCTTCTTGTACCTAGCATTTCCCTCCACTAACTGAAAAACTTCTCTTGAATTAAGTATAGTTAAATAAGTGCTGGCAGTCCGCTCCTTCTAAGAAGGAACAACGGACAAGGCATTCGTTCTCCCCTCGAGCGCAGTAACCAAAGGGAACCCCCCCTCCATCTGAATAGATTCCTAACAGACTCTAACAAGTTGATCACAAACTCAGATCTGGTCAAGCAACTGGTCTCATCTGCAGAGAAGACGCCAAATATACTGAGACACAATAGCCTTTTTTTCCCCCATTATCCTCCTAAAGTTCTCGTCACCCAGATCCCGACCTTGTTCTAAGTTTGCGGAAATCTAATGGCTTCATGCTGTACTTTCCAAGATGTAACTTCGACATGGGCAGCTACTTGCTTCCTCATGGATTCTGAATCGAGAGAACTGAACCCTTTCAAACTTGTCCCTTTGATCCTTTCCCCAGAAAGAACACCCTCCCGAAGAAGACTGCACGTTGACCCCACACTGGGCAGTGGGGAGAGTTCCTTCTTGCCAAGGCCAAGGGGAAAGCGATTGAGAGTTGAAGGGCCATCTCTCAACGCGATCAACGCGATCATGGAGACATTCATTTCCGGAGGCTGGACGGGCGCACCTGTACTCCGCAGCCACGTCCTGATGGGGAGGGCTCTGTGGTCCCAGCCAGGAATGTTCCATTCCCATGCTGTGGAGGAGCTACCTTGAGCTGCTCTCTGGCCCCCTCATTTGGGAGCAGTTGCCTGGTTCCACCAAACGCTTCTGGCCCCTCGGCCCCAGCTAGGGGGGCCGGTGGCCGCCACGCTAGTTTCCTCACACCCCTGACTCCCAGCGACTGTGAGAGCTAGTGCCTGGGCAACCTCCAGGTGCTCCTTAAGCTGCAGCCATACAGTCGGAGCCACCTGCCTCAACAGGCTGTCCTTACAGCTTTGCAGACAGGTGGGCCCGGGAATCCAGTTAGCCAAGCCACTAAGCCAGACTGCTCAGATGGAGGGAGTTACGACCCGCTCTGCTTGCTCTGCACTGGGAAAGGAATATGCATTGGGCAGGGCAGTGAAAAATTAGACAAGGAAAAATTATTCCATCTACCTAGGGCCCCCAGTCTATGTGATTATCCACCCAAATGGGGACTAGGGTTTTCGATCACCAAATTGGAACAAGAAAGACTAAGGCAAGCAGGGCTGCCAGACTCAGCCTTAATCAAAGATAGAAGGACACTCTGGCGTCCCGCTTCCTCCCCCAGGGTCACGAGTGGGCGCCACGGAGAGGCCCTGGCAGTGGCCCCTGGTGGGCAGCTGACAATCCACAGAAGACCAGCACCCCGCAAATACAAAAAGTCGTCGCCTTGCATCTGGAAAGGCCAGTGGATTTTGTGGACAAGACAAAGTAGAAAAGGGAAATGGTCTTATTGTAGCCCTGCTGTGTGCGCCTCGGGGCAGTGCGGGGTGCAGTACTCACATTACTCCATGTAACCCGCACAACAGCCTATGACCCGATTCCTGCTTTGCACAGAAACAATCGAGTGCACATGAGCCCAAGACCACACAGGTGGCATAGGAAATGCCTGTATTGGAAACCAGCCCATCGTGAAGCTTCTCCTTCCATTCAAGCACACTGCTTGGGAATCCCTGGCCCACCCCGGAGCTGCTAAATCCTATCCAGCATTTGGACAAGACTCCCAGGTGATTCACGTGGACATTTAGGTCAGAGAAGCCCTGCTCTGTCCCTTCCGTGTGGCTCGAGCCTTCTCTGCCCGCAGAAATGACAACTCCTTAGCCTGTCGTCTGTCATTCACAAGAGTGTCTGAAGGACCTGGCAGGTGAAATCTCCAAAATTCTCCTGGGTTTGACTGAATCCATATAAATGACTCGAGGAGCATTCCAGTAAAGCATAAACTTGAACCTGCTGGAGCGGCTACAAAGCGTAGTGACCTAGGGGCCCCTGATGCACGCACTGGGACTCCAGACTGTCCTTTAAGCTGTTGCTCACCTGCCTGCGAGAGCCCACCAAGACCGCACCCATCACACGGCCATCCCTAGGTAGTGGGCACTAGAAGTCCAAGCTCTTGGGCCACCCTTGCTCAGTCTGCACCCTGACCACTCCGAGCATGCCCGGCCACTCATCCTTGCTGGGCCTCTTCCAATGCACCCAGTGGGACTCCCAGTCTAACAGGCAAGCACCCCAGTAGCCTCCACTTCTTCAAATGTCTGCTTCCTCTGAGACCCAGCTGTCCCCAGCAGGTGCGCACCCCCAGAGTGTGTCCCCCCACCTGCCATTGCTGCTTCCACGCACTTCCTCTCCTCCCTTCCAGATTGCCAGCTTCGCTGAGCCGGGCTCCCCAGTGCTCCCAGCTGCTCCCTCGTGCCATCTGCCCTCCCTCCTCCTGCTCATCTTCCCCTCCACCTCACCCCTGTCCTCATTCCTTCTCAGGGACTCCAGTCACATAGATACCCATCCTGTACCCTCGCCCCGTGTTTCTCCCCCCGGGGCTCTGTTGTCACTGGGGTCAGACAGTCCCTCCTGCCAGACAGTCCTGCCCCCTCCACAGTCATTGCCACATCAAAAGTCCGCGTGCATTTCGCCCCTGGGGTGTAGGCAGTGGGTCCCTGGTTGAGAACCATTGTCAATGTCTCCGCCCCACTTCCACCTGCACTCAAACCTTGACCGTGTCGCCACTGCGACTGACCCTCTGCTAAATCTTCACCTTGAGCATCTCTGGCCACCAGCCCGCATGGCTCTGGCGCCCTTGCGGGTCCGCTGTCTGACGCTCCAGGTGACACCGCAGGCCCTGTTGCTTCAGATCTCCCCCATGTCCTCACACATCAGCTGAGAACCTCGCTGTGTGCTTCCTCCAACACAGACACGGCAAAGGCAGTCGGCCCCTGTGTTAGGAAACCCAGTGCTCCCTCCTCTGTGCTCTTTTACTTTCACACAGAACATTCCACGTCCCACACGCTTGGTCACCATGCGGGGGGTTCCCCACCCCAAGTAATTCTGTGGTGACACCAGCAGGGTGTCCTATGATTTAACTCTGTTCTGACGCTGTTGTCTACCTAGAGGTGGTGTCAGACCCCACAGGGTCAGGGCTCAGGTGCCAATCGCAAGTCGTAGGTCCCAGGTGACCACAACCTCTGTCTGACTTGGCAACAAATCAGAGGTTCCCACAGCCCCTTTCTTGAGGCCAGCTGATTTGCTAGAGCAGCTCACAGAAGTCAGGGCAACACTTATATTTACCAGTTGATTAAAGGACATGATGAAGGACAAGATGAACAGCCAGATGAAGAGATGTGTAAGGCGAGGTCTGGGAGGGTCCCCATGGAGCTGGGGGGTGCATCACCCTCTTGCACGTGGAAGTGTCCACCCCCCCAGGCTCCCCAAACCCTGTGCCATCGGGATTTTTATGGAGGATTCTTCAAGCAGGCAGGATGGATCATCACCTCCATTTTCAGCCCCTCCCCCTCTCTGGATAAGTGGGAGGTGAGGGGGGTGAAAATTTCAAGCTTCTAGTCATGGCTTGGCCTCTCAGGTGACCAGCCCCCGTCCAGGAGCCCACGCAGAGTCACCTCAGGAGGTCTGGAGATGCTCCTCGTGCTCTCACCACGGAGGAATTGATGGGTTTCAGGCGCCCCGTGTCAGGAGCAGGGGCAGAGCCCAGTGTCTGTGTCTTTTATTAACTCACAACCTCCCATTTCCCAATTACACCTGAATTTGTACCAGGAGTCACTGTCCCTGTCACAATGGGAGAAGGTTCCCAAAGGCCAGTCCCTCCCTTAGCACTGGATCCCACGCTCCCCCGTCTGCCCAGCACTTGCTCCAACATGATTCTTCCCACCCCCCGCCATCCTGAGCTCTGTGCTCATCATCCCTTTGCTTTTCTTTATGGTTTTTACACCCGCATATTCATCCCTAGACAGTATGTTGTTTGGTTTTACTTACTTTAAAACGTTATGTAAATGGGATCCCACTGTATATGTTCCCCCGTGGTTTTTTAAATTCTGGGTTTTTTTTTAATTCATGCACATGAATGTGTGTAGTGATAGTTCATTTGTTTTCACTGCTGTATAGTATTCTGTCATATAAATATTCCACAATTTTATTTATAGATTCTACTCTTAATGGACACCTGGGCCATTTCCAGTTTATTGCTATTATGAGCAATGCTTCTATGAATATTACAATGCATGTTTCCTGCTGCTCATGGAAAGATTTCTCTCAGAGTAGAATCTCAAGGTTGTAGGGAATGTACCTGTTCAACTTTATTAATGTAGAAAAAACAAGACCTTCTGCTTATTACACTTTTATTAAATAAAATCCTCTCTCCACCTGCTGCTAATCAGAGTTCCACAGGCTCGCTATTTTCTTATAATGTCATATAATGAAATTTCAGAGCCTCGCCTTTAAAAATGTTTTTTCACTATTAACTGAAGGAGTCAAAGAGGTGAGAACTGTCTCCTGTTCTCACACGGCCACTGGGAAGGAAAACACTCAAAGCACAAAGAATCCGATTGGCGTGGTTTGAAGAACTTTCCACAGAATGTCTTGTTCTAAGTGGACAC